CCAATAAGATAAGTCTTATAAAATATATAGATTTATGATAGTTAAGACTGAGCTAGTAGATGAGAATCCTAGTCATTGGCCAAGCAGCTTTGAACCTAATACAAGTTTCTGTGTATTCATTTGGGCCCTAACTCAGGCAGGCGCCTGGCATAAAGCTCACGCGTGGCGATGGGGCTCAGGCGGCTTTTGGCAGAAAGATTTATCGTAACAATGGTCTAGAACTTTAACAAGCAGGGGCTTCAAAAATCTCCCCATGTTTTATTTTTATGATAGAAAGGCATCATTGTAAGTGTTGAGGAGCCTGTCTTAGGACTTCTACTAAAACACCAAAGGAACCCTTGTAATGTACATGCAGAGTAACTGCTGTAGACCAACACAGACCTGTGATTGCCACTTGAGTGTACATAAGTCCATATGATCTGATCCATGCTTAGTTGATTGAGTAGAGCATATTTTCCTGGCTCCGTTCATTCCCCTTTGATTCCTACAGCCTATTTCCCCTTCTTCTTCAGGAACCCAAATCTCCATTGGGAGGGACAGGATGGAGAACTCCAATTTACATTTTCTCCTGCTGCATCCATCTGGCTGTATGTCTTTGCGCCAACTCCATTTGATAGTGGAGGAAGCCTATCTGATGGTGACTCACTTAACAAGGCAGAATATCATCAGTAACCAATCTATTGATATATTTGTCAGGCTTCTTTGGTTTTACCTCTAGTCTCAGGGCTATCTTGTCCCCAGATCCTGGCCATCCAGGAACTTAAATGTTGTAGAATATTAGTTAAATATATTCCATTGTTTATGCTGTGGAATATTTGTCTAACAATGCAAAGATATGTTGCATTTGTTTAACCCTGTAAAGCTGTGTTACTTTATCTGCCTAAACCACCTGATTGGTTTAATAAAGAGATGAATGGTCAATAGCTATGCAGGAGAAAGCATAGGAAGGTCTTCCAGGCAGAGAAAATAAATAGGTGAAATCTAAGCTCAAGAGAAGTGGAAAGAGTGAGACCTGAAAAGGGGAAAAGAGAGGATGCCAGTGGCCAGCCACCCAGGTACAAAATCAGCCACAGATTAAGAAGAAAAGAAATGTATTTACACTCAAGAAACTAGGGCTACTTGCACAAGACCTGTAAAATCAATGGAATAGAAGGGATATTATTTGGGTAGTAGAGATGGGTTTATATGATGGGAAAAGAAATAGGAAAAAAGAAATATGGTGTCTATGTTTACAAAACATTGCAAACATGTATAAAGGTCTCTTAAAATTACCTTGCAATGGAGATTAAGCTTCCCATTTATAACTTCTTGGAACAAATAAGAAAAAGGCAATACAAGTAAGTCCTACACTGAGGAGCCCGTAAGAGATTCCAATACTTAGAAAAGATGAGAAGAACTGAAGAGAAGAGGGGAATGGAAAAAAAACTATACACAATGTCCCTGAGGCTTTACCTTTAATATACAGGAAGGAAAAATCAATGCAAATGGGTTTCAAAAATACCCAATACCTGAGTATTAAGCTTCTGAACCAAAGTATGAAAGACTTGTGAGTAAGAAAATTAGGGTACCTCCATGTCTCACTTTTGAGACTTTGGGACATGAAGGTATGATTGGATAGGTTGGGGTGGCACAGAAGTCAATGGATGTAATGTAACTCCTATCTGTCAGTGAGAAAGAAACTGCATACTGCATAATCTGAGACACACCAATATAGCCAGTCTTTGACACACCTGCTCTTGGAAGCAATTGGAGATATGTATTTATCCCAACCTGATAGCACTATAAAAAAAATGAGGACTGAAAGTCAATGAGGGCAGGACTAATGTGCTAGGGAATGAAAGAGTAATGAAAGATGTGATTTTTTTCATAACTATTTCATTTTTCTGATTATGACAATGTTCTTCAGAAAGTTGAATAAGAAAATGATTGTCACTTTGACAAACACCATGGAGAGACAAGATATTCATATTGCAGGAAGTGCAATAACAGACCTCAGTGTCTTTTACTCTCTTGTAAATTTTGTTCCTAATTAAGTTGTAGAGATATATTGTTGATGATCTAATAAAGC